GCATCTCCATCCACAGACGTGGCTCACAGAGGAAATGGTCAGGAGGATTTTACCAAACACTCACGCTGTAGAGTTTCCTGGGGGTAGCTGACGAGGCTGCAGAGATGCAGGCATGGGGAAAGCCATTTATCTTTCATCTGATGCACTTTTATTCTGGTTGGAAGAACTATTTTTTTTTTACCATTATAATTCATTGCTTCACAATTTAAACAAGCCCAGTTCACTGAGAGGGAAGGAAAGCAAAAGAGGGAGGAAGGTGAGGCGGCAGGTGAGCCGGGGCAGGAATCTCGTTCTTCTGAGAGGAGCCCTGGGCCCGTGAGGACAGAAGCCAGTGCATCGCAAACCTGAGCGATGTCCTCAGACTGCGCAGACGGGCAACTTCGGTTTCTTCTACGAGGCAGGGAATGCCGGCTGCTGGCCTGGGCCCTGTCCCTGGTCCCAGCAAAGCCCCTGGGATGAAGTCCCTGGGGACTGAGACCCGCACGTCCTTCCAGGATGCAAAAACGGGAGGGTGTCCTGACGTCCGGCGACAAGGCCCTGGAGCACAGAGCGGGGAGCTCACGGGCTTCTGCAGAGAGGAGTCCACAGACAGGGGGTCTCCAGGCCGGCTTGCTTTCTAAGGCCGTGCCCTCCTGGAGGCAGCCAGGGCGGCTTCCTGGCAGCGGTGCCCTCTGCCACACGTGCCCTCAAGCTTTCACCAGATAAAATAGCTTTCTCTCTTCCCCCCTGAGATTCTGGTAGTAGACAGGAAGCTAGACTAGTTTTTTTTTCCCACTTATTTCTCAAGGTTAAAGTTATACTTGAGGTCTATTTTTAGAAGATAATGGATTGGTGGAGAAAATTATTTATTTTTAAAGAACTTTTTTAAAAAACTCAAAGATTTTTAGAGAGCTTTAAAAACGACTTTTCTATGGAAAAGGGGGAGGGGGCAGGAGGAACAGCATGCGGGCTCCCCCCTCCCCGCCCCACCCCAGCCCCGCGCTGAACCCTCTGTGGTGACAAAACAGCCTCCCACACCGGGAGGTTTAAACATTAATGAGCCTGTCGGGGTGCTGGGCCCGGGAGCCCGGCCTGACGAGGAGCCAGCAAGCCTCGGCTGGACCCCTAATTACTTCTTGCGCAACTGCGGGCTGGGTGCCCGGATCACAGGCTCCGGGTCGGGGCGAGGGCCCAGCTCTGCCAGGTTGCATAAGCCTTCGCATAGCAGCATCGTTAGTCACAGTCTCAGAACAAAGGGCCATTCTGACCAGGGCGGGGTCTGCTCTCCTGGCTCTGGAACCGAGACCCACCTTCTCACTGTCAGGGGGTCCCCTGCTTCCGGAGCAGGGGGGCTGGAGGGCTCTGTGGGGAGGGTCTGGTTCTTGCAGCTGTTGCCGCTGTTTAATCTCTCACCAGATCAAGACGCTTTGGTCCCGGGCCCTCCACCTTGCTCGCCAGCTGGGGCCGCACCCCCAAGGGGCTCCGGGCCTCCCCGGGTCCCAGCCCCTCCTGGCCGGCACCAGGCTGTCCTCAGGCCCCAGGGCCTTCATCCATCAGGACCAGCTTCTGCGAAACCAGGTTCCAGAGCGTAGCTGCCTGGTGGCTACTCACAGAGCACAGAACCTGAAGTTCAGGGGCAGAGCACTGGCTTCAGCAGCGACCTGGTCCCGTCCACTGACGCCACAGACGGAGGGACCCAGGCCAGGGGAGCCGGCAGACAGCCGGCTCTGTGCACGGCCGGCCTGATGAGGCCCCGCTGCTACCTGGATTCTTGGGCTACGCGGGAACCTCACGTGCTCCCTGCCTCCCTGTGACTTCAGTGTCTGCCTGCGCCTCCTCCACCCGTCTGCTCACCTAGAGAGCCCGCCCCAGAGCTGTGAAGATAGTCATGGCAACACTGCAGCCTGCAGGTGAGTCTGAAGAAGACAGCTCTTCACCTGGACGGAGCCCCCTGGGCAGCAGCGCGGGGCCAGGCCGTTGGCCGCCTCCACCCTGCAGGGACACTGACCATGGGCCGCTTGGGGTTTGGCTGGAGACAGTGGAGAACCAGGCATGCCTGCTATTCAGAAACACAGTCGCCAAAGTTTCCTAGGGAAAAATCTTGAATTTCCTATGATTTTGCCAAGAGACTCTGGTCTTTCCACCTGTGATTTTTCACTGAGGCCACGAGGATGGTCAATGCCAAGCTGCCCCTTCTCTCTCTCCACTCACAGCTCATTATGGCATCGCAGCAACAAAGGGAAAACCTCCTTCACATTAAACTCACTTCTCTGATGTGAGAGTGGGACCAGCCAGGATCAGGGAAGAGCCACAGATGCTGAGAAATGCAGTCTGGATACTTCATCACAGAGCATGTCTGTAGATTCATCAGCTGTAACCCAAAGGTACCAGCTCACGGATTAACATCGGCCCAAAGGGAGGCCTCTGGTGACAGGTCAAAGAATTCTTTTTCATCCTGTTGCCCAATGAATTGGACCGAAACATCTTCTGCTCAGATGTCGCGTTCTGTGAGGTTTTTCTCTGGCCACCCTTTCCCTGTCTCTCGTCCTTGCTTTATTTTCCTCCCTGGTGCTCAGCATCACCATAACATCCATGTAACTTATTTGTCCTTGTTTAGTGTCTGTCTTCCCCACTGGAATGACAGTCCAGGAGAACACAGATTCCTTTCTGTTTGGTTCACCATGGTGAACACCCCAGAGATGAGCGCACAGCCTTCAGAGCACGGGGCTCTCAGGACCCAGTCACCCAGGTGGAGGGAGGGAGGGACGGATGGGGGGATGGAGGGAAGAATCAATTGTGAAGATGAAATAACCCAAGAGAGTGAGGGAAAATGTTAGATGACAAAGTCAATAACCACAGTTATCTCAGCAGGTGAGATGACAGTCTGAAGCCAGCAAATGGAACTTAACAGGCTGTGTAAGTCAATCCCACACTTAGACTCCAGGAAAAGAATTGCACAAGCATGAGATGGAAAGATAACGGGGCCGAAAAATAGCACGTGCAAGGCTGACAGCATCGCGGAAGACGGCCAGCTTGACCCTAGTCCAGAGGACACCAGTCTGTCGGAACGCCTGGTCCCTGGGGTCCTTGACAGAATAATCACAGTTTCCGGTGCACAAGCGTCCCATATGCTTCCCTTCAAGCGGATTCACACCTTTTCAGACACACTTGCGATATTCATGTGAGCAAGTCTGCTCCTTGCATTTTGGCTTTAAGAACAAAGATTACAAAGAATCTAAAAAAGAATGAAAATATATAAGCGCATAACTGAGTCACATGGCTGTACACTCGAAATTAACACAACATTGTAAATCAACTATTCACTAATAAAATTTAAATTATTTCTTAAAAGAACAAAGATGAGAAGCCACCTAAATGTCCACCACTAGGAACTGACATGCCATGGATACAAAACAGTCTTTAAATAAGAATGAAGACTCAAAATGTACTTATTTGGAGCATTATCTCAGGTACTCAGGTTAAGTGGGGTGTGTGTATGTGTGTGCGCGCTCAGTCGTGTCTGGCTCTATGCGACCCTGTGGACTGTAGCCCACCAGGCTCCTCTCTCCATGGGATTCTCCAGGCAAAAATACTGGGGTGGGTTGCCATTTCCTTCTCCAGGGGATCTTCCTGACCCAGGGATCGAACCCAGTTCTCCTGGATTGCAGGAAGATTCTTGACTCTCTGAGCCACCAGAGAAGCCCTAAGTGGGGAGAGGGATCCAAGAAAAAAGAAAATAAATGCCATTTTGCTTAGATTTCAGTAGAGCCTTGCTTTTTGGGTGATCTTTGACCATTCACTTGGGCTTCATCCAAGTGCTCATTAGAAATGCATAGCAGAGCAGCCGGCCTGGCCCCAGACCCACTGACACAGTCTGCATTGTCACAGATGCCCAAACGATTTCCACACTCAGCTGGTAACGAGTCTGCCTGCAATAAAGGCGACCCAGGTTCAATCCCTGGGTCAGGAAGATCCCCTGGAGAAAGAAATGGCAACCCACTCTGGTATTCTTGCCTGAAGAATCCCATGAACAGAGGAACCTGGTGGGCTACAGTCCACAGGATTGCAAAGAGTCAGACACAACTGGTGACTAACACACACTAACCTCTAAGAAGTTTCATTTTAGAAAAGAGTTTCATCAATCTTTCCACCTCGTCCACAACCCAGGAGGGAGGCCTCCATTTCAGCCACCCTCCCTTCCCCAGCTCTTGTCCTGGGGGCCAGGGAGCCACGCATCCCGGTGGCCTTGGGTCCCCACTTGAAGGCTTGCGGGACACGCTGGGGAATCCCATGTTTGCAGGACCCCCCATCAGCTCCAAGTTGCAGGCAGCTGAGCTGACACGAGAGGCTGGCGGCTCTGCCTCCCCAGGCGCTGGTAGGCAGACGTGACTGGCTCTGGTTGGGCGCCCTGCTTGGGTCAGGGCGCTGGCTGGTGGTCATGTTCTGCTGTCACTCCCAAAGTTCAGCCTGGCTGCTGAGTCCCAGCCTCAGCTGCGTGTTCTCCTCCAAGGATACACCACAGGCAAGGCTAACCTAAAGTCACCCAGGAGTTCCCTCCAAAGCCAAGGTCATGGAGCCCAGCAGGACCGCCCCTTCACCGCCAGCAGGAGGGAAGCATCGAGGCTCTGAGTGGGACTGACGTCACGGTAACTGTCCATCCTGAGCCGTCCATCCCCGTGGTCCTGCTCCTCTTCCCAGAACCCATGGCGTCATCGGGTGACTTCCTGCTCCGCCAGCCAGGCGGCCAGGCTCACCCGTCCTCCTTCTCGGCAGTGACGGGTGACCCGTGGCCCTCACCCCATCAGGATCTCGGAGCCAGAAGCAAAGTGCAGGCTGGCATCGTGCAGCCTGGAGCAGGGTGGGCTGGGTCCCTGCATCGCCATCACGTTGAGAAGCAAGGGTCCCACAATGGGGCAGCATCCTACACAACGTGTACCCCACTGACCACAAACTGCCCGCTCCGGAAGTCAGACCAGTCCAGGAAAAAACATAAAGGCTTTTCTGATGCATTTCAGAAAGAGTCCGGGTCTGTGAGACTGAGCTATGGGAAGAGCGCTGACCTCGGGGGGGGGCGGGATCAGATCACCGGCTCGCACAACGCCGGGAGCCGTGGGCAGACACCCCATCAGGAAGACAAGCAGCATCACCGTCCAGCCCAAAGGGGGCTCCTCAAGCTCCTCCTCTCCTTGCTGAATGGAGGAGACTCACCTGCTGCAACACGGGGAACCCGAAGACTGTGTTCAGTGACGTCCGTCAGCCACACGGAAAGATGCTGTGTATCTCCACCGTGTGAAGGCCCTAGAGTCATCAAATTCAAAGGAACAGATTAGGAGGGTGGGTGTCAGGGGCTGAGGGAAAGAGCTGAGTGGGTTTTGTTGTTTAATGGGGACAGGGTTCCAGTTTTGTAAGACGAAGACGTTCTGGAGATCGGGCATACGACTAGCCTGTGGACGTAACAATGATTAAGGTGGTAATTTTGTCTTCTGTGTATCTTACCACAATTTAATATAATAAATAAATAGGTAAATATTTGGCCTAAATTTGCTCACACAGATTATTCTTAGGAGAAAACACAAAACTTGACAATGTAGTCCCTTCAGGGCAGCAGGACCCAGGCACTGAACCAGGGAGATTTTTCATACATTTTGAACTTTTAGCATTTTTTTTTCTACCATATACATTTCTCAACTTGTCAGTTAAGAGAAAAAAGTCTGGCCAACAACCCTCAGGCTCCTTTCTATGGAACCTGGTAGCTCAGGTTTGGGTTTTTTCCCCCACATACAGCTGCAGGTTGTAAACGGAGGCTCTACATTTGCGGCTTCATTCTCTCAGTACTCACATCTCTGTAAGTGAAGGTTTCTCAAAGATCTGGGAAGGTTTTATTCACAGGACCCCAGATTTGCAGTTTTCCATACCTAAAAGAACAAAACACGCGGATGGACCTCATCGCTCCTGCTGCTTTCACAGCAGGGGCGGGTCTCGGACTTCACCCCCAGCCTGTCCCGCACCCCACCTTAGCAGGCAAGCTGGAAGTCAGCACAGGGCTGTTCTCACACGTGTCCTCACTCGGGGGCCTGCGAACCTGGACTCGGCACCGCCCGCCTCCCCCTGGTACACGTAAGGGGCCTGCACACCACACGGCCGGTCACTGGTCCATGGTCTTGCAGCGGCTTGAGGAATTGATTTGGCACCAGCTCTGCCCTGTGGGTCCAAAGCCTGGGTGTCACCATGACCGCAGGCTGCCCGCCCCAGTCCGCCAGCCCCTTCCCTCGCGTGGCTTCTTGAAGCTACGCGGTACTGGGCGGGAGGGGCCCCTGCATTGGCGGAGGCGCGGGGGGGGCCCCTGCATTGGCGGAGGCGCGGGGGTGGGGGGCCGGTCACTGGTCCATGGTCTTGCAGCGGCTTGAGGAATTGATTTGGCACCAGCTCTGCCCTGTGGGTCCAAAGCCTGGGTGTCACCATGACCAGTCTGGCCGCTGGCACCGGCTCTGGGGGCCCCTGGCAGCAGTCTCGGGGGTGACCCTGAGTCGCTGGAAGCAGAGCTGGGAATTGGCTGAAGCATCGAGTGAATGGCTCCTCCCTCGAGTCTAGAAAGCAAACATGGGGAGTCAGGGCAAAAGTAAAAAGTATTTACTCTTAATGTTTTTTGTGTACATGAACAAGAACAATACACGTTTATCGATGCTATGACCCTGGAAATGCACTGTTGTGGATATAGAAAGTGGAGGAAAAAAGAGAGAACTTTACATGTAAAGCCCTTCAGGACAGTAGAATGATGCGTAGTTTTGTCATCACAAATACTTCTTGAGATAATATCTTCAGAAACGGCGAATGTGAGACATGCCCCCACAATCTCTGAAGAACTCAAAGACGACAGACCGCTGAACAGCCGCCACACGCCCCAGCCTCACTGCAGCTGGTCCTGACCCCGTGTTACCCTGACACACCTGTCCCCCGAACAAAGAAAACAGACACACACGGGGACTCGGGCGGTCGTGCTTTCAGAAAAGTGGGAGATGAGTGGACACACACAGGCATGAACGCACGCCCCCCCAACGTTGCTGATCTCTCACATCATGAGACACGGATCCTCCTCCCGAGTGCTTTCACAGCACCACACGACACAGACGCTCCACACACAGTGAACTCTGGCTGGTGACCTGTCAGCTTGGGTTTGCTGTGGAGACAGGGTAGGCGTCACTGTGAATGGCAAGGACAGACCTCCAGAAATCCTCTCCTCCATAAAAGCAGCATCAGCACTGGCAGGAAGGGTCGCCATCAATGCTCCTTGACCGCTGGCAGTTCCCTAAGGCCACGGTAACCCGTGAGCCTGCCTTCAGGAAAAACGACCTCCTCTCAGCAAGAACCTTGACGCCCGCGACCCCTCTCCTCCACCGTGTCTGCTCGGAATCTTGAAAACCAGGAGCCTGGGGGCCTCGGAAGGAGAGACGGGACTGGAACCTCCCCAGAACATGCTCCTCCGTGGCTTCTAGATGGTTCTATGAGAGACCCCACTGTATCTGACCCAACTCACATGAAAGGCGAAAAACCTTTCTCCCAGGACGCTTGTGACAAACAGATCAGTCGCAGTTGTGTAACGTCATGATTGCCTGAAACAGTGGTAAAAGCAGAGCAAAAATGGGGCTGAGTGGTGAGATGTCCACAAAGGGCTTTGAGAAGCTCTGACATGTCTGCAGGGCTCCAGGAGGCTGCACCTGTGTGCAAGGCTGTCACATCCCGGGGAAGACCTGAGAGCTCACATGTCTCACCTCTGGCTGACCCGAAAGCTCTGTGCCAGCAAGTGATGCCAAGGCAGCAGTGCCATCCTGCCCACCAAGAGCTGAAGGCATCGCCCGGCACACACGAGGCCCTCGGCAGCATGGCAGACCCCCCGGCTGCAGACACTGAGCAAATGCTGAGAGGAGGCTTCAGTGACCACGCCGGACCAAGAGTCCAGACTTTACAGAATTAGTCCATTTAAGAAAAGCCAGTAAACAAATAGCAAAAGCAACAACGATAGACCCTGGGTGGGGGCAGAATTTAACAGAGTTGCCACATTATATTATTTAAAACATGCAATTTTCAAAACAATATTGCAAGACCCGCAAAGAGACAAGAAATTATGGCCACCATACAGGTATGTTGTCTAGTTGCTCAGTCGTGTCTGACTGTTTGTGACCCCCTGGACTGTAGCCTGCCAGGCTCCTCTGTCCATGGAACTTCCCAGGCAAGAATACTGGAGTGGGTTGCCATTTCCTTTCCCAGGGGATCTTCCTGACCCAGGGATCGAACCCCTGTCTCCTGCATTGTAGGCAGATTCTTTAGGGATCAAACCCACACCTCCTGCATCTCTTCTACTGGCAGGAGGATTCTTTACCAATCGTGCCACCTGGAAAACCCCACACACAGGCTGGACTAAGGCTTTAAATTGGCAATCTTGAATGTGTCCAAAGAACTAAAGGTGACCATATCTAAATAACTAAAGGAAGTGTGAGGAATGTTTCACCAAATACTGAATATCCATACAAGGATTTTTTTTTCTCCAAGACCAAATCACAAATCTAGAAAACAGTTATTATGGGACTTCCCTGGTGGTCCAGTAGTTTAAACCCCATGCTTCCAGTGGAGGGGACACAGGTTCCATCCTCGGTCTGAGAAGCTCCATATGCCACAGGGTGTAGCAAACAAAAAATTACAAAAACTGAAATGAAACTTCATTAGAGCTCCACATCAGATCAGAGCAGGGAGAGGAAGAACTCTGAACTCTGTAAGACAGGTGAATAGAGGCGTCCAGTATGAGGGACAGAAAGAGACAAGAAGGAAGAACAGTGCCTCAGAGACCCCTGGAATCTGCTCAAGCAATTATACTTCCTCTGGACGTTCTTAAGGAACGGTGGGCTCTTCCCCGTGGGTGCGGCCATGGAGACGCGGTGACCCTGGTACAGGTCAGCCCCCGTCCGTCCTCGTTTGTGATGAGACACCTGCAGTGCAGACATCAGCACGGCTGTTCCAGGACAGACCGTGAGTCTCGGGAAAGGGGTTCATCACTTGGACTACGTCACCCCACCTGTGCTCGTTACCCCGGATCCCTGATCAACCCCGGATGGATACAGGCGAGGCAGGCTGAGCATCCTTTGTAGGTTCAGGTACAAGTCTGCAGACAAGATCTTCCTGCTTGCAGCTACAGCTGTACCACAGTGGGTGACTGAGTCGCTGCAAAGCGGCCGCACCACGACTCCTGACCTGGCTGGCCAGCTGGCAGATGTCCAGCAAGGCCAGTGCCTGGCTCCACCTGTGCCCATGTGCTGGGTACCCTTCTCCAGCAAGACCATCCCTTGATCCGTAAGATGCTCCTGTGGCTTTTTTTTTTTTTAATTTCTCATTTGAAAAGTAGTAACAAGCAATTTTTTGTTTTTAACAGAAAATTTAATGTCTAAAATGTCTAAAAAGAACTCATCGTGTTTCAAATATTATATTCCTTTTCCTTTAAATTCTGAGTAAGTCCAAAGTTGATGGTCACAATTCAACTGGCACCTTAGTGTAATCTGATTCTTTTTCTGTTGCATTAAACACAAGAGGGTAAACTATTAATCTATAGAGCTAATCATCGTATTTCTACTTTTTTACTTACAGCTCATCCAGTTTCCTTGGATTAGATGGCTCCTTTAGGGAGCAAGAGAATACCCTGCTGCATCCATTCAGCCTTCACAGCACATTTCTACCCAGACAGTGCGGCTGTGGATGGAGAAAGCAAGCCTTCTAAGCTCCCATTTGAAAGCTAACGACTCATCCTTAAATATGAGAAAATACGCCACAAATAAGTTTCATTCTATTTTAGAGTAAGTGCTCAATTCTAAAAGAGTAACAGTTTTAGACAGAGTTATAAAATTTATAAGTTAAATTATAAAATGTCTTTCCATAAAGTTGAGATATTAACTGAAATAAGTCAAAAAAGCATACTTACTTTTTGTTGTGTTTCTGCATAAGAAACTTGAAATTACTTTTCTTTTGCCAAACGTTACATTGTGTATCTGGAGAAGGAGACGGCAACCCACTCCAGTGTTCTTGCCTGGAGAACCCCATGGACGGAGGAGCCTGATGTGCTACCGTCCGAGGGGTCGCCAAAGTGACAGTGAACACTTGTGTGCATAGTTTTTCATATTTTTCTCTTCAGTGATCTGCTTATTTACATAATTTGTTCCTTTAAAAAATACATTTTCTTTCTCTTAGTAACATAGGATTTTACCCTGTTAAAATCAATACTGCCTTCCCAGGTGTCTCAGACAGTAAAGAATCTGCCTGCAATGCAGGAGACACGGATTTGATCTCTGAGTCAGGAAGATCCCCTGGAGAAGGAAGCAGCTACCCACTCCAGCATTCTTGCTGGGAAATCTCATGAACAGAGGAGCCTGGTGGGCTACAGTCCATGGGGTCACAAAGAGTCAGACATGACTTAGTGACTAAACAAAAACAACATAATTAATTTTTTTTAAATTTTGTTCAGGTTTTTTCCCTTCAAAGATGAAGCTTGTTAACATGTATATAATCGAATTAATGCATCTGTCCATCTTATGCTCATTCCACACTGTAGCTTCACAGTAAGTTCTAAGAATATGTACACATATAGTCCTGGTCACTAATTTTCATTATCAAAAATATCTTGTCAGATCTCACACCTTCACTTTTCCATACAAATGTTAGACACATTTTGTCTAGTTAAAAAGAGCTAATGAGATTTTGCTTAAAACTGCGTTAAAGGTATGTACTGATGTGGGAGGAATTACCACTTTCTTTATTCATTATTGCCTCATTAATCATTTTTACGTTTTGGTTTTACATTCTGTTCTTTGATAAACTATTATTTTTTAAATATAGTTTACCTTGATTTGCTTATCCATAGGTATATTATAATGTTTGTTGCTATAAATAAAAATTTCCCCTTATTTTTATACTAAAAGTCCTGCTGTTTAATGTTGAATCTTTTGGATTTTCTATGTACAGAAGCATTTCATTTGTAAATAAATAATTCTACTTTCTTTTTCCTTAGGACATGTTGTAAAATGCTGAATAGTGGGAATTACAAAAGTAATTACTCAGTTGTGTCCAACTCTTTGCACTGTAGCCCGTCAGGCTCCTCTGTCCACGGGACTTTCCCGGCAAGAATACCAGA